AAAGTATTATTGGCAACCACAACTTAATTCTTGTATCTTATTCCAATAGGCTCTACGGTTTTATCTAATTCCAATAGATCCGGCAGGTATATATAAATAAAATAGGTCCTGCGGATATATCAAATTTCAACAGGCTCTTCGGCAATATATAATACAAATACTACCCTGCGGCCAAATAAAATTATAATAGACTCTACAGCTAAATGTAATTCCAGTAGGCCCTGCGGCAATATCATATTCTTTTAGAGCCTACGGCTATATTTAATTCCAAAACGCAATGCGGTTATATTAAAATCCCATTCTCTGCGGATATTTTTTAATTCCAAAAAGCAATGCGGATATATTTAAATCCCATAGCACCTGTGGCTATATCTAATTCCAGTAAGCCTTGAGTGTACATGTAATTCCAATAGGCCTTGTGGCTTTGTCTACGACTTATATATTTCCGAAAAGCCACCGGCTATGTATAATTCCCATAGACCCTGCGCCCTTATCTTATTTCAATAGACCCTGGGCAATATGAAATTCCACTAGGACCTGCGGGAATATCAAATTCTAAAAGGAGTTGCAGCTATATTTAATTCCAATAGGCCCTGCGGCTATATAAACTTCTAATAGACTCTACTGCTACATATAATTCCAGTAGTCTCTGCAACTATATGTAATTCCAATAGGTCCATCGACTATATATAATTCAAATACGCCCTGCAGCTACATAAATTGCAAGTAGGTCCAGCAGTTCTATATTAATTTCTAATAGACGGCTGTTATATTTGATTCAAATATGCCCAGCGGCTATTTCCAATTCTAATAGGCTATATATAACTTAATGCTGCTATATATAGTTTAATTAGTTCCTGAACTATATATAATTTAAATAGTACCTGCGGTTATATATAATTCGTGCAAGCCCTGCGTCTCTATATACTTTCAATAGGCCACGCAGCTATATCTAATTCCAAGAGGCCCTGCGGCTATATAAAATGCAAATAGTCCCAGCGGTTATATATGAATTAAATATGCCCTGCCGCTATTTCCAATACCAATAAACCCTGCGGCTAGATATAATTTAAATAGTCCCTGCGCTATATATAGTTTAAATAGTTACTGCTCAGCTAATTCCCATAAGCCCTTAGGCTATATATATAATTCTAATAGGCCCTACAGCTATATATAATTGAAATAGGCCCTATGGCTTTATCTAATTCCAATAGGTCCTGTGCCTATATCTAATTTTAATATGCCCTGCGACTATATATATTTCAAAAAGGCCTTGCGGCTATATCTAATTCCAATAGGCTCTGCCGCTTTATATTATTCCAATAGCCCCTGCGACTAATACTGTAATTTCCTTCTACACTTGTTTTCGAAGAATGGTAAAATATTTGCTACGTTAATTAAACACAAACTTATATTTTTTTGTATTATTAATTTTTATTGTTGTTTGAATAACTTATCAGTTTTATATTATATTATTAACATTTTTGAAATCATATGCCTAGAATATGAAGTACCGCTACACAATATTTTATTTTCGTAGATTAAGAACTATTTAGAAGTAAGAGCGTAGGCTTCCGTGGCCGAAGTCAATATTTACTTGGCTGTCCGGGTGACGCCGCATCCATGGCAAAGGTGCCGACGTTTCGGTCGCCATTTTGCGACCTTCCTCAGACATATTTAGAAGTATGTCATTATTTTGTTTGTAAATAATTGCGGAAGATCTTGGGTACAACATGATTAAAATATTAAAATATTCCCCAAATATTAAAATATTCCCTAATTCTTAAAATCCAAAGAAAATTCTTCGTAATATCCCTATGTCAGGATAAATTTGAATAACATCGAAATAAATAAAATAACCATTAGAATTTAATTTTACGTTCACCAGACAGGACCTTTGCTAAATAATTCTTGGAAAATTCAATAATACTTCGCGCCACTCTTATATATTCCGATGAACTATATATATATGAACCATATTCGTGTCCGCAGTGTTCTTTTCATACGGTCGAAGAGACTGAAGTTCATTTTATAACGTTGGTTTCGGAAAAAATATTATATTTAAAGCGCATTTGTATATTATTGTAGTATTCCTGTCCTCTAGGTGCACTTTGCATTATCACCTCTATCGCTAAAAAATGAAACACGTGGGATATACATTTTATCTTAGATATCTCAAAGCATTACGAGAGCGACTTCCTGTCTTGCGAGAAACGGACAATCTAGTATTCAATGGGATGCTCGAGTCTCCTACATTCGAGGTCAGGACGCGCGAGCAAGTAAAATCCCGAAGATGCAATGCTCTAATTTACAGGGATACATAATTGTGTGATGGTTTGGCTCCGCAATTGCTGCCCCGAGAGAAAAACTAGACGTAACGCATTTGGTTGTATAAACGTCAGGAATAAGAACTAAAATTCGGCAGAGATTTAGAATTAGGTGGGCGGGCCACCTCCGCGGCCCCGATCCTCGGACGTCGCTCTCTTAGTCATCAATCACTAGGAATAATATGGCATTGCGATATTTCGGCCTTATTATAATCAAGATTTGCTTCACTTTGTATAAATCGTATGTCAAATTGATTGGGGTTTTCTTGTGGATGCCCAAATATCTTTTCTTATTTTACTGTCGTGTGAGATTACTCAATACGACTTTATTTTGTGTATATGAAAGCTATAAACAGCTATATATTTCTTTTCAGGAACCTTAAGCTGTAATCATATTTCTTCGTGTAGGGACATTTAATAAAAATGCTTAATACGGTATACTTTTTCATACGATTCATGTTCTGTGCTTTCCGTACTGAACTGTAAATAAAATAAAATGAAATTTAATTTCGTAATTTGTCACCTTTTATAATTTTATCTTGTAAACTAACTCACAAATCACGCCCAAAAATTAAAGATTCACATTGTCATTAAATTATTGCATATGCGCAGTCAAAGATAGTCTCTCTCGAGAGTATTGCAATACGCTTCCCTAGTAATGTACGATACTAGTTATATTATTATTATTATTATTATTATTATTATTATTATTATTATTATACATACGCATGTTAAGTTAAATTCACTCTAGTGTATTGTAATGCGCATAGTTCATCCGTTATTACTGTGCGAAATTTCGGAATACCGTAATAACTGTTTATCATACGACAGTTTTTCATGAAAATGTCGTAGATGTATCACCGTGAAGGCGCTGCTACGAAGAAATTGAAAGTAATCTTTGAGAAGATATTCGTATAGCCATCGCGAGATTTGAAGGAGACCAAAGCCATGAGAAGATGAGAGAAGATTGAAGTCAAATTGGGGAGAAGATGTATTATTACGCGCGTGGTCGGCTCTGTTTGTATTTCTAAGCTTAATAGAAAATTCACTGCAGCCTCAGGATACTATCACATACATAATTCTTGGCACAAATGAGTAAGCTTTGCAAGGAATGGCTGAATTATGAATTGGTATTAACACATTGGAAATTGCATATAAATATTCGTGATCGCTTGTATATACTATCTCGTGTTGCTTATTAGTATCGGTTCTATTAGTTTTAAATTTATTTATTCATGTTGTTACATTATGTTTTAAGTTTGTGGTTTAAAACGAGCGGGTTTTAATGGGTTCAAAACAAAATATAAACATTAGTATTGACCTCCTTGTGGTAACGTGAAAAATTTTCCTATTATTAGAACTTAAGTGGTACAAAAAAGTCAAAGCGTATGAAATATTGTTTTGACAGTCTTCTCACAGTTCCACAGAAATTTCACTTGCGCCAAATCAGAAATGTCTGTAGACATTTCGTTTTGAGTAACACAAAAATATCAATTCGCGTAATTTGTAGATATTTAGAGAGAAAGATGGTTTTTGTTTCCTCGAAAAAGGAATCTGAGAGACATAGTGAATTGCGACAATCAGCAGCAAGGGTTAAACGACTCAAGCGTGTTCTCAGAAAGCCATCAGATAGACTTTTTCCTTTGTCTCACTAAATTTCTTTTCTCGTTTGGCGTAGTGTAGGCTTATTTGGACGATCTCTTTGTACAGCCTTTTCAGATGATCCAGCCAGTTTTTACTTTTTCGCCATATTTCGTTCTCAGTTTGCGAAGAGTGAGTAATGTGAGTAAACTACTGTGGTGAAAATCACTGTAATGCTGCAGCGGAAAGTGACAATTTTTCAACTCGTGTTGTGGGTTATCGACAAAGATACAGAAACCGTTGATATCGAAAACGTGAATAAATTTACCTATATGTAGTAAATTACTTGTTTTATCACGTTGTGTAGTGATAATCCAGGGTTGGGGGTCCTTCCATACCGAAAAACTGATTTACTGCAAAAGTCAGTCCGCCCGTTTGTCGTCAAAGCTAGCGCCTCAACCGTTCACATGATTTTCTCCAGAATTGATATTCTGGAATATAATTAAGCGGTCACGAGGCCCCACGAATATCAAAAGCATTGATTGTTGGGGTCGTGTTGTATATGAAGCCTTAAAAACATTTTCAAAATTTTCTCCAAAATGGACGTATGATAATCGACATAGATATTATTTTCATTGGATTCCATAGTTATTTAAATATATTTATAATAAAATGCCAATAACCTCTCCAAAACCTAATAACAACCTATCTTCCCTTGTATTCTGAATCGCTGAGGGAAAATTTCAACTCAATATCTTTAACCGTTCAGGAAATACTGTAGGTGGGTGTTTTTGTTGACTAACCGTGAGTCGGTCGAACAGACATTGCCATGCAGCCTGGCCGCGCACCGAATGCAACCCGCGATGCGCCGCAGTCTTGCACTTCAAGGGCGCGCGGGTACTTCAAGGCAGATGTGCGTCACTGGGTCGGGCGAAGTGCATCGGCCCCGCCCCTCGAACATCTGATGGTCGTTGCCCTTTTGCGCCCACTCCCACCCTCGCCGCAACGAGTACCCCGCTCCGCTCCGCTCCTCCGCCGGGCTACTTAAGTCCGGCTGCCGTGAGCGGCCGCTCTGTGCGCCCCGTCTCCGCCATGGCCCCCTGTGCGGCGTTTCTGCTATTGGGCCTGCTCGCGCCGGCCGCCGTCCTCGCCTCTTGGGACATCGACGAGGATGTTCGCCTCGACACGGTGCGTAGGTCCCGCATCCATTAGGCTCCCTAGTGCGGGACTAGTGTCCGTAATTTTGGGAAGACACGTGAAGTTTTGAAAAATATTGTTTTTCATTAAACGTTAATCAGAATTATTAACTTTTAATAAATAATTGTAATTAGTATATTTTAATTAAAATATTGTAAATATTTCGACAAAAATATTTATGAAGATATATTTATTACTATTTTATTAATATTGTAATGAATAAAAATATAAAATAATAATAATAGTAATATAAGTGAAAAAGGTTTAAACTGATGGCTCGCTGTTTTGAGGGATGAGTAACTATTAAAAGGGTGTAAGCGTTACAGTAGTACTTTCAATCAAAACGCTTGCGGAACATACTTCAACACCACTCTGTGATACAACAAAGTCGTATCGTCCATAAAACCTCCATTGCCAATAAACGTCGCTATTCATCACCGTGTTGTCTTCACATTTCAACTACCTCACTAACTGTCGCTGATCTATTCTACCTTATTTATTATCCGTTCCCATTCTCACTGGGCTCAACAATAATGTATAAAACAGTAAAATAACGATCTCAAGTAAACTCTTTTTGATTGTATCATCGAAACCGGTCACATAAAAAATAATGCTCTTGAATAAACTCCAAAACTTTGTCACACCAAAATTAGTTAATTGAATCCAACATTCACGATCTGTGTATTCTTTGAGACACATAAAATAACCATACTGTTTGCTTACCACCTTTATTTATATTACATATTTTACCACTTTGCAATCTTGATTTATTAATTTTCCTCAAAACTTTTGATTTGAGATGTTTACAACATATCATTCGAATCGGATTCTTTTAGCTGATGGTATTTTTTTTAATTTTATGGGACTCAAAATAAAATTAAACAAAAATGATTACTATCAGCCAAAACAAAATTGATCCGAATCGCGTCAACAGCATGAAACCTCTCAGGTAGCCAAGCCATACACTTGCGCTACTGTAGTAATATCGTGGATGGTCATTAATATAATCGTCGGGCAAAAGAAACTTAAGTTTCGTCTAACAGAATAATCTTTATGCAATTGAATTAAATTTATAATTAAAAGTTCTTGATAAATCAAATGTTGCATTTTGTGGCAGACCATTTTCAATTTTAAAATCACTTTGATCCTCTAATAACAATTTAAGGTATATCAAAGTGTTTGATATTTATGTCCCTGTAACATTTTATTAGATTATAAGCAGATCTTCGCATTCATCACAGTCTCATACATATGTTTTTAAATTTCTATACAATTGTTAATTTATTCACTTCCGGTTTAAAAAAATTCTCGTTTACATACTCGCACATGTAAGAAGGCGTTCTTGAATCTTCTATAGTTGTAGAAACGATTACCGAATTGTAATACTGATGGTAAAGTCATAGTCATTATGTCATTTTGACCTTCATTCTTTGACAAATTATTTCTAAAGGTTTATTGACCACATCTGACAGGTTACAGTCACAATGTCCTTTGCTGAAAAAATGACAAATCGACTGTTCGCGTTGTTGACGTAACGGAAGCCATGAATTAAGTTAGTGTGTATGAATGTGATGTGGAAGCAATTGCATCGGAAAACCTCCATATTTCATCAATTAATTGCTATTTCTAGTTGTTTTTTGTTCTCTATTCATCAGGTGTAAAGTTGGCAATTTTCTGCAATTTAGATTTTGACACCTGTGCACGACAGCAATAAGCATTTATTATGAGGAAAATTCCATTTGATAATATGAATAAAGTATTATTTCGAATATTCCTAAGTACTAGAAGATTTAAACATACACATTTTGCTTTTTTAATCATAGAAATCAAATGTACGCTGTCAATAATTCATGGATTGTTTATTTTAATCAAAATGTAATACCTCACAACTACAATATTATCTCTAAATCGTGTTAGAGAAGGTAAGAGCTAAGTTAAAGGTATTTTATGTTCACGTTCCTAAATTATGACGTAATTGTAGCCACTTCATAGCTTTGGGCCCCGATGTGTCTCATTTTTCACACGAAAATGAAATGTAGGTATATTTAAAATTGGTTAAAACTAATGTTTTCCAGTGAAAACTAGTTTTAACATGACTAGTAACATTAGTAAATACCAAAATTGTTTGATAATATCAGAATTGTTCTAGAAGTAACTAGAAAATATATTTGGCTGACTTTTTAAATGAAATATTAAATATGTTTTGAAAGATTAAAGTGTTAAAGGCAGTTAAAAGTGTTTTTACAAAAAGTATACATTGTCAAATTTGAGTCAGGAGTAAATCTTACAGTTTTTACGTTACCAAGAGTTATCTAAAATATATATGACTACACCTCGAAAGGAAAATAGAGGAGAGCTATTTTCTTTTCCGGGCAGAGAAACTTTTTAACCGAGATCAAATTTCGACTTGTAAATAATTTTTGGTAATTTATTTATGCCCACACACACGCAGATACAAAGATATGCTTTCCCAAATTACATGTTTTCAACTTTCGTCCTTCGTTACAATCTTGTGGAATTCTTTAACATAAAATTTGTGAAATTTGTCTTTGTTCTGTTCAAATGGATTTGAATATTGACATATTTTTCGTCTACAACAGAATGGGTAGTTTAAGAGTTACAATTTATTTTCGGGGCCTGTTTTGACAAATTTTCATGAGTTTTCGCCCTGGGTTATGAGTAAACTCCAGTCAATTTACAAGAAGAATCAGCGTTTTGAAAATGTTATTCGAGTGAATTACTTAGTATGACAAAGATCCTTACTTAGTTACATTAGTTCAGACAACAACTCTTATCTTAATCATTTTCTAAGTGTTCTTTCATTATTATCACAGGAAAACTTAAGATTAGTTTTCGTATTTGATTTGTTTTCAATTATCAAGTCTTATTCATCCCAGTCAATTGCCTTTAATGTTATCAAAGTCATTATATTGATGCAATGCAGATTTGGCATTGACGTTTTCTGACGTTCGCTTATTTGTGCACCATCACCTTGTTATTGATATTATGGAGCATATTCAAACATTTTTTTTCTGTGAAATCAGTTTTCCGAGAAGAGCTGGTCGTATATCAACCAATAAACATTCGCCACATATTCACCAATTAAATACACAGAAAACAGAGCAAAATTGTTTCTTAAAGTACATTGGACCCCATCAATTCATTTCACTGCAGAGCCTCTGACCGGGAGGTTCTAAGGCTCAAGTACCGACGGTGGCAGGAGTTTCGACACTAGCTAGTAGGTACGTCGAATTCAACCGCTCCCTGGAGGAGAATTCTGGACGAGTTATCCATGCTATCTATCGAGAATAAAAGGAAATATGGCCTGACAAAATAGTGTAGGGTCTTCTTTAAATTGTTGCTAATTATTTGCACATTAAGGGAAACCTTTTCTTTATAGGCTCTTGCAAGGCCTTGTAAGGTTATACTCCACGAACTCTGTGTTCGTGCAAGTGCGCAAGAAAGTTCTGTTGCACCATCAATAACCTGTATTTACTTCACCGCAAAGTTAATTAATTTATTTATTCACGACAAAAACAGTTAAGACGTGCTATGGTGAGAAATTAATTTGAAGTTACATTTATGTCCAGAAGCAAAACAAGGGGCCTCCTCAGCATTTTCCCGAGGATCAGGGAAACTGGATGAAAACCTGCTCGAGATAGGCGTCATTGACCCAGAAGCTGAAGTACAATACTTGTTGCAGGTTCCTTACAATTATACAATCCAAATGATATATAATACATTAAATGTCGTTGTTAAAATTAATACTACTTTCCTTTTGGGATGCTCGGTATAGTCTCTAATTGTATAGAAACAGTTGTGAAGCAGAAAAGATTTTACGTGGGACAAACTTTTATATCGAATTTAATCGTTTAATGTCATCCGGCAACGTGTTGTAAAATAATGTACATATTACCGGGGCATCGGGATTCCCGGGCCACCGGATCATACCCAATTGCAGTTCTAATAAATGTATGTATGTATGTATTATATGTGATTTTTTTGCAGTAAGCTGTTGATACTGTTACCTGATGAATACGATTACTGCATTGAGTGTTGTAGGTATAGACAACGGCGTTTGCTGAAAATATATTCCCGCACTTAAGTAAGTCATATTTGAAAAAACCATTGATTCATATATAAAGAGACAAGGTAATGGTAAAAAACCTGGATTAATAAAGAGAGGCTTACAAAGATCACGTGGGTGGAATTTTCTCCTTGTTCGTACAATTCTTTTTTGTAATCTAAACGTCTTGGAGATATAAGATGTATTTCCCCAGAATATTATGCCATATCTCAGGTGGGAATGAACAGCCGCGAAATATACACAACAAGCAGTGTGGAGGCTGGCTGAATTTGAAAGAATTCTGAAAGCGTAGCATA